TATAATAAATAGATCTAAACAATAAATGTAAACAGAGATCAGAGGTCACAGCCTGCAGCAGGTGTGAGCGGCGCGGCGCGGCGCCAGGCAGGTAGCTGCTGGAAACAAAGCGGCGGGTGTTTCTCAGGCCGTCGATCCCAAAGGGGAAAAAGGAAGATAGTTGATGAGGATTCAAAGAAGAATGGAGGAAATCATTTGCTTTCATCACCAATCAGGAAGGATCGCCTGCATGTTTGATTTGGAAGGAGAAGTCATAATACGATTAGGAAAGGCATTTCCAGGGAAGGCTCAATATGCAGCCCACCTCCAAGCTGGGAGGGAGAGAAAAAGTGCGATTGAAGAACTTCTGGATAAATTAGAGGAGAACAAAGATAGATTTAAGAAGTGGATTGTATCTCCAAACTCCACTACTGCTGCTACTTTGGTTTCAAGCATAGAAAACCGTTCATAGATCAAACAGGTAGCGCTCTGATGCAGGGATGGAAACTTTCTAACATTTTCCCAAATCCTCAAAATAAAAATCACACTGCAAAAAAGATCTAGAAATAAGTAAAAATGTCTTAAATTAAGTGTATTCACCATTAATTTGAGTAAGTAAATGAGATAGTTTGCCAATGGAATGAGTAATTTTACTCTTAAAATAAGATAATTAGATAATATGCACTTGAAATAAGACAAAGCAATTGTGTTTTCTTATTTTAAGTGTAAATTGTCTTGTTCCGTTGACAAAATGTCTCTTTTACATCCTCAATTCAAGACCAAATGCACTTATTTTAAGAAAAAATGACTTATCTAGATTCAGATTTTTTGCAGTGAAGGAACGCTGGTGATGTGACTTCAGGGATAGAGAGCTCTGCTCTGATGATGTCACTTCCTGCTTGGTTCCTTAATCAGCTCCTCCCATCAGAAACACGTCCACCGTAGAAAGATTCCTTTATCCTGTTTCTATCATTTCATCAATGCAACCAAACCTGAACTGCTCCTCCCTCACCTCAGGCTGCTATGAGACATTTGCTCCAGGATGAACATTTAATAATGAATGCTTATTATATCTTTAAGCCCATATAGTCATATTCTATAGTGGGATAAAACACTTAGACCCGTGTTTCCATAAAAGGCTGATAGAAGACTTTTACATTTTTGCGTCTCCAGACAGATTAGTTTTTTGGTCCATTAAGGCTCTTTGAGCAGTTTGGGTTGCCGACCCCTGACCTAAACAGAGAACCGGCCCTGATGAAACCTATCCGTGTTTTTT